CTCTACTGATTCAACTACTGATGATATGTTCGTTAAGAACTAGTATACTTTTAACTCTTAATATGCGAACTATGTGTAACATAGAAAGATACTCTACTAATTCAACTATTGATGACTTGTTTGTTAAGAACTAGTATACTTTTAACTCTTAATATGCGAACTATGTGAAACATAGAAAGATACTCTACTAATCCAATTATTGATGACTTGTTTGTTAAGAACTAGTATACTTTTAACTCTTAATATGCGAACTATGTGAAACATAGAAAGATACTCTACTGATTCAACTACTGATGATATGTTCGTTAAGAACTAGTATACTTTTAACTCTTAATATGCGAACTATGTGTAACATAGAAAGATACTCTACTAATTCAACTATTGATGACTTGTTTGTTAAGAACTAGTATACTTTTAACTCTTAATATACGAACTATGTGTAACATAGAAAGATACTCTACTAATTCAACTATTGATGACTTGTTTGTTAAGAACTAGTATACTTTTAACTCTTAATATACGAACTATGTGAAACATAGAAAGATACTCTACTGATTCAACTATTGATGACTTGTTTGTTAAGAACTAGTATACTTTTAACTCTTAATATGCGAACTATGTGAAACATAGAAAGATACTCTACTGATTCAACTATTGATGACTTGTTTGTTAAGAACTAGTATACTTTTAACTTAATATACGCAGTTGTAGCAAGGTAATCCCGCAATGAAGCTACTAGGAGCTTCAGTATTGAATTAACTCCTAACATACTAATTGACCGAGAGTATAATTCATAATCAAGCTAACAGAAACTCTCTTATACTGTAATTTTATATGAATCAACTGGTTTTATGGATACTAATAATATTACCGACTCTTCGATTTTGTGATACACCTATTATGTAATTATTCTCAGTGTCTTACTGTTGTGTTGAAATCCATTGATATTATGAGTAGCTATTTATTTATCGACTAAACACATTTAATTTCTGATTCCTTAACCACTGTTTTTCACCATTGCTTGGCATAACCGTTTTAAACCGAAAAAATGAATATTTACCTAAAGAGTAGATCCTACTGCTTGAAAGATTAACTATTGGGCAGCCTACCAGTAACATTTAATGTCTGTTAACTAAAATAAAAAAATACCCTGTGTAGCTTTCAGTAACTTGAAATGTTTTTCCACCAGAAACTTAGTGTGTCTCTTAACTAAAATGAAAAAAATATATCCCCTACAACTATCAGTAACTTTAACTGCTTGTTAACTGTTGTCTGCCTATCAATAACGTTAAATGTTTTTTAACTAAAAACACAACACATGATCCAGTAACAATCAATTTTATCAATTTAGCTATAATACTGTTTCATTCCCTGATATATATATGATTCAAATTTCGTTTAATGTTAAACTTCCTGTTCAACGTTTGTTTAATTTTAGATTTTAACCAAAATTTTGTTATACAAATATGTAACATTGATTAAAACTTTATAGTTTAAACTGTTAAGTGCGGTCTTCATTCTTCTGCTTTCACATTCAGTAAATCGAACGAGAATGTATTGCGGATGAAATGGGAAATAAACAGAAGCCTTATGAGAAGGTATCACACTAGCTCGCTGCCTGTAATCAGGTGATCTGAAATATTAAGTGTCAGTCATCTACATCAGGTAGTTAAACTATCTATTCTACAGAACTAGGGACCAATTGGTACAGGAAGGACGTTAACTGTAAATAATTACTGTGAGTTAAAGTTATGATGAAAACAATTAGTGTGAGTTACAGTTATGATTATTTGTTTATTTGAAATTAAGCACAAAGCCACACAAAGGTCTATCTGTGCTCTGCCCACCACGGGTATCGAAACCCGATTTCTAGCGTTGTAAGTCCGCAGACATACCGCTGTGCCACTGGGGGGCTACAGTTATGATGAAAATAAGATACTGAGGGATTGTAAGTTGCTCTTGATTTTATTCTTATTTAAAAGAATGGCCTAACGAATTATTTAGTATTATATTGCAATTATTTTTATGCAACAGTATATCAGCTACCGAAGCGTATAAATTCGTTTTACGAAATTAACTGTGGTATTAGTTTAAACCATACATTAAAATATACAAATAACACAACATAAAAGCATATTGAATTATGAGCTTCCAGTAAACGATTTCAAAAAGTCGACGTTTAAACTTGTTACTCTGTTCAAATATAAAAATGTTTTGTATATAGGCTGTGAATATTGGAAGTCAAGTATCTTGATAGAGAAACAGCAGCGGCTATGATATATAAGGTTCGTTGGACAGAACGGACAAGGTATATTAGGTAATGTTGAAATCTTGTTTAGCTTTGGAACGAACATAAACAGACATTACGTGCTGTTAAACTTAAGAAATTGCTTGTATATACACACAAAAAGTAATTGTTTCCCGGAACAGAGAGATATAAACAATAAGCATTGTGGGTGTTGCACTTTGAATGAAACTGTCATGTGCAACATGCGCTACCTCAGGTGACTCCACATGTGGATGCTCTATACTTTACAGATGTCGCTGTGGAAGTTAGTGGTTCGGAAACTGTCTTCAGAATAACCATTCTGAATGAAGCTGCCTTGTAGAGTATACCAACACAGGTGCCGTTGCTATATAGTATGCCAACACAGGTAATGTGCAGATGTTGAGGCTGTACAGTATACCAAAAACGCACGTAATGCTCCAGGTGCTGATGCTATATAGTATGCCAACACAGGTAATGCTGCAGAGTTTGGTGCTATGATTGAAAATTCTCTTCTATAATATGGCAGTTAAGGTGTAATTGTGCAAGAGAGAGTTCTGAAAAAGCCATGTTTCAGAATGTATTTGTTTGATACGGCAGTGTGTTTTATTACTTGAGTTTACTGTATTAGTATATATCATCCAAAGTCACTGCGAGTATAAAAACGAACACAGGCAGTGTAGTACTCAACCAATCCACAGAAAACGCAAATTCTATCTATTATTGAAACCTGTAGATGAAAAGTTCAATAAATGAAAAGATGCACTTTTAACAATGCCTTAGCATCTTCTAGTAAACCTTTGGTTTGATCAAATCAACAATTTATCTATTTCTAAAGATAGAAAGGGTTAATATAAAGGTAACAATAAAGCTCAAACGTTTTCCTATATCTAGTACTAAAGTAATTCAACTTGATACAACTGTTCTGTTCAACATTTACATTATCTGTAAAGTTCTCTAACTTAACATCCTTTTACAGGATGTACGTCTTTAAACCCATCAATGACCCATTAATGCTACATTGTTGACCTGACGGTGCTAGTTTCCTGAAGTTCAGCATCTCATAAAAACAATCCTATTTTTTACCAGAAATCAAGCTCTTAACATTTTTCATACTCAGTAGTTTGTTTTAAATATCCCCTTGTGAAATTTCTTCTCATGATGATTAACACTGAACATAAGGATAAAGGAAATTATTTGAATAATTTAAAATTCTAAAAAGGTTGAGTAAAAATATAGCATGATTAAAATTTCGAAATAATCAACGAATAAAATAAAACAAACTTAATTGAATAAGCTTATACAATTTGTCTTCTCAAGTATAACTTGTCATGAAATAATGTTTTGAAACTTGATTTAGCTAGTAAGCGTTTTGATGTAAACAAGCTCTTGATAATTACTCATCTTCTCCACAAGACGTAATCACAACACTAGTTTCCTATATTAACTCATATTCTCCACAAGACGTAATCACAACACTAGTTTCCTATATTAACTCATATTCTCCACAAGACGTAATCACAACACTAGTTTCCTATATTAACTCAT